TCCATTTTAAGTGAACTCACACATTTACTACCTCAACTTTAATTAGCTTTACAGGAATATAAGTTTATTATAGCCCCAGAAAAAGTTAATGAAAAATCTCTATTCTCCTCCTAGGTCATACTGTCACTGAAACAATGGTGAACCCACAAAAAGTACACTTATGCCTTAATTCTTTAAAAAACACTTAATAATTTTCAATAACTTTTAGAGGATATTAATTGACTTCCACCAGCACTCCAAATTACTACAGAACACTTGTGTAATCTCTTTTTACAGTTAGAGAAGATCCTAATCTAAATTCCCAGGACATTAACTCCTGAAGCAAAACAGGAGCTTTAATTAGTAGAACAGAAAAATTCCTGAACCTCAAATCACCTGTATCTCTTTAAATAATCAGCTATTTTTAGTACTCCAGTGTCCTACAATTTTTAATTTACAGAAAATGTATTTTCAGTTATTCATTAACCTTATAATAAAAAACAAATAAACACTCTTATTTCTTCTTTAAGGATTGTCAAATTGCTATTACTATTTTTTCTAGTCATATTAATATTGATAAGAAGTTACCATCTCTCAAAATATTAGCCTTTTTTAGTAATTATACATAGGTATTTTTAAAAAATTGTTAGATTTAACCCCATTCCTTCAGTTCCTACTTCATTCACTGATGGGTTAAATACAAATATATAACAGGATTTTACTGAGCCTATTAATGTGGTTTATAATATCAAATACTCTGTTTATGTCCCTCAAAATAGAGACACTACAAAGTTAAAATATATTACTAAACCTCACATCATTTACGTTATTACCTTATCTATATTACCCACATACAAGCACATTTTAATTTGTCCAGATTTTTACCGAAAGTAATGCCATTATTGATTTTTAACTACAATTCTACCCAACACTTTTAACCCCTACCATACAAGTTATTAATTGCTAACATTTAACTTTTTAGTAAGTTTTTATTCAGCCTTGTATTGACTACATTCTGCCAATACAACACCTTAAAAAAACATTTTATGACTATTTTTGGAATAAACGCCTACATTATTAGAAACATATATAATGATTATTTTTTTAACTAACAGCCTGTTTCAAATGTATCAAGAGGTTTTTCTCCCAAACATATTTGCCAATTGGATGTAATTTATATACCTTCTTTTGAAAAGCTTTCTTATATTCATGTGATAAATAATATTTTTCTTCTTTTATTAAACATATAATCAGTCATATTTTACAAACCTTCATGGTTAAGAGTGTACTTAAACAAATTAAAACAGATAACACTCCTACGTATGTTACCAAAACATTTTCTTCCATTCATTCTTTTTATAACATTTTTTCTAATCACAAGCATTTTATATAATTGAAAACAAAAATATTAAAATTATTCTTTTTAAACAAAAAAGGGGAAATCTGGGCTATTACCCCTCATTGACAATTGGTTATTAATTTTTGATAACTGGTTATATTTTTTACAATTGGCTATTAATTTTCTAAATATTAACAAAGATGGGTATACTCCAGCCTAAAAACATCCAGAGGCCCGGATCCATTACTGGATCCATTACTAATGAGGGGATGAGGGTGTGCTTATATTTTTTCAGAAAACTTTGATAAACCTGTCTGGATACTGGAGAAAAAATGTCAGAGGGTGTATAACAACTCACAGTTGAATGCAGAATGAGAATTCGGGGAAGTGCAGAAGGAGCCAGTCTACAGTGACAAGTCGCCTTCCCACATAGAGGTCAAGCAAAAGCTCCCTCTCATTGAGTGATGGAAGACTCCTGAACTTGTATTTTTAGTAATAGTAGCTTTACTTTCTGCTCAAGTGTGTGATGTAAAGAGTGCTCAGCACTGGACTTAATTTTCCTTTTCCATCCTGGTTGCAACCCCTCACAAACATGGACAAATTGGGACTATATATAGACTAATAACACCTGTATATTCAGAAGACAAGAAGATCTCTAGCATCCAGGACACCTATATGTTTTTCAAAATTTAGCAACAATATTGAATCATGTCTTTTCCTTGTTACATCATTTGTTAATACCAGTTTGTCTAATGGATATGTAAATTTTATTCAATCTAATACTATTTTTGAATTGGAATATTACTTGTGTCAATTGTACTCTTAAACATGCTCATAAAATTACTATTTCCTCCTTAAGTCAATCAAAACAATTTATTGGTCTCCTTATTATTGGTTTAATCATTGTTGCTTCTTTTATTGTATGTACTACTGTTTTATCTATTGTGCTACACTCTGAAATTTAAACTGCATAATTTGTATATTACTTAGCAATGATTAGTACTTAAAGCTTAAGAAGCTATTGATTTATTGTATAAAGTCAATGTATCAGAGCAATCAGCATTGTATTTAGGAGATAAGTTAGAACCCTTGAAGACAAGGTTGCTATTGCAATGTGATTACAGATTATTTACATTACCCTGCTACCCTATGATGCTTCAGGTCCTAATACCTTTTGAGACAAGAGACGTGCCCGCCTACTGGAGGCATGGCATAATTCTAATATTACCCTTAATATTAATATCCTTCATGATATTACTGCCAACTTTAAACTGCTCAGTATGCTAACAATTGGTCTGTGGCTGTGCAACATCAAATTTAAATAGATACTATGATGCAACAAGAATTGGATGTTTCACTAGGTGGCTCAGTGGATAGAGCTCTGGCCCTGAAGTCAGGAGGACATGAGTTCAAATCCAGTCTCAGACACATGGCACTTACTAGCTGTGTGACCCTGGGCAAGTAACTTAACCCTGATTGCCTCACCAAAAAAAAGAAAAAAAAAGAATTGGATGTTTCAGAGCAGTCAGTGATAGCTTTAGGAAAACAAATAGAACCATCAACCATACACTTCAATTTGAAGTGTGATTATTGTTATTCATTTATCTGTGTAACCCCATATGTGTATTCAAATTTCACTAATACTAATGTAACCATCGAATAAATATTAAAGAGTGAAGCTCCAAGGTGCATGGCACTCTGAAAATATTACATAGAAAATTAACCAATTATCCAAAATACAACATGAAATTGCTGATTCTTATATTGATGGTATTGATACTCAAGATATTGCAAACAAATTGTTAGATTGGATGGATCAACTTAATCCTTTTACGAATGTATTAAGTTTGCTATTGCATTTTTTACCTTGGCTATGTTTTTTTTATAAATTTTATGTTTCCTCCTTCCCTGCTTGTTAAAGTACACTCGCCAAACTTTAGGTGAGATTTTTACATCCCTTCATTTTCTTAAGTTAAACAGTAAAAGGGGGGAGATTGTAGAGGGCTTGCACTGATGGGTTTGAGAATTTAGGCCATGCAGGGTTTTACCTGTAGCCTGTCCTTAGTCTGAGGGCCACCTAAGTCATAATGTAGGCTCTCCAAGCCCTCCCCTGTTCTGTCTTTCCCTTGATAACAGAAGGACCTTGAAAGATAACCGGGAAGCAAGGAGATGTTTCAGGGGGGACTCCCCCCAGTTACTGTTCCCATGAGAAAAATTATTGTTGATACTTTGCCTTTTCCACTCTGGGTTCTGCTCCCATGAATGGGGTATAAAAACCCTAACCCTCAGATCAATTAATGGAACTGGTTCTGGACCTGTTACCTACCTGGCCCACATATCTTTCTCTTTTATCATACTCAACTGGCAATTAAACACAGTTGTGGACACGGGTGTCCACGACACCTCTCCTCACCCCTGCCCAAGATGTCGAGCAATCAACATATACATTCATATTAAAGCTATTTTCACATTAGTCACGTTGTAAAGAAGAATTAGAACCAAATGGGAGAAACCACAAGAAAGAAGAAACAACAAAAAAAAAAGAGAGAGAGAGCAAATAATATGCTTCGATCTGCATTCAAACTCCATGCATCTTTTTCTGGATGTGGAAAGCATTTTCCATCATAAGTCTTTTGGAGTTGTCTTAGATTCTAGAATTGCTAAGAAGCGATAAGTCTATCAAAGTTGGTCCTTGCACAATGTTGCTGTTACTATGTACAGTATTCTTGTGGTTCTGCTCACTTCACTAAGCATCAGTTCATTTAAGTCTTTCCAGGTTTTTCTGAAGTCTGCCTGCTCATCATTTCTTATAGCCCAATAGTATTCCATTACATTCATATACCACAACTTATTCAGCTATTCCCCAACTGATGGGCATTGCCTCAATTTCCAATTCTTTGCCACCACAAAAAGAGCTGCTACACATATTTTTGTACATGTGGGTCCTTTTCCCATTTTTATGATCTCTTTGGGATACAGCCCTAAAAGTGGTATTGCTGGGTCAAAGGGTGTGCACAGTTTTATAGTCCTTTGGGCATAGCTCCAAATTGCTCTCCAGAATGGTTGGGTTAGTTCACATTACACTAACAATGCATTAGTGTTCCAATTTTTCCACGTCTTTTCCAGCAGTTATCATTGTACATAGTGACGTAGTACCTCAGAGTTATTTTGATTTGCATTTCTCTAATCAATAGTGATTTAGAGCATTTTTTCATATGACTATAGATAACTTTAATTTCTTTTTTAAAAATCTTTTTAAATTTTTAAATTTTTTGCTTTTTGGTGAGGCAATTGGGGTTAAGCGACTCGCCCAGGGCCACACAGCTAGTAAGTGCCAAGTGTCTGAGGCCAGGTTTGAACTCAGGTCCTCCCTACTCCAAGGCTGGAGCTCTATTTACTGTGCCACCTGGTTACCCCAATAGCTTTAATTTCTTCATCTGAAAACTGACTATTCACATTCTTTGACCACTTATCAATTGGGGAATGACTATGGTTCCTCATTGGCCAAAGTCTCTGCAGTCTAAGACAAACTCTACAGCCTCCTTTCTAATTCAGTGCCAATTTCCCCACCAAATTCTAATATATATATATATATATATATATATATATATATATATATATATATATATATATATGTCACAGAGCTTGCATATTAACAAAGAGAAGAACAGAACTGAAATACCTTGGTGGCATGGATTTCATATTACTCTCTGGCTCCTCAAACACATTAGGGCTTGCATCAGGAGTTACTGATATGTATGGTGCTGGTACAGATGTTGAACGTAGATACCTCATTTCATCTTGGAAGAGGTTGTCATCCTGATATCCCACAAAGTTTTCATGATGATGCCTAGATTGTATTACATACGATAAATTAAAGAAAATATTATGACAATTACCTAGATTTCTCTAAATATTTTTGTTTGTTTGCTATTTTTAATAGTACTTTTTTCTGATTATATGCAATTTTTAACATTTATTTTTACAAAATTTTGAGTTCTAAATTTTCCTCCCTTTCTCCCCTCTTCCTAAAACAGTAAGAATTTGATATAGGTTATATATGTGTAATCATGTAAAATATATTTTCCTATTAGTCACAATTGTGAAAGAAATTGACAAAAAGGAAAAAGAAACACAAACAAAAAAAAATAAAGTGAAAATACTATGCTTTGATCTATATTCAGACTCCATCAGTTCTTTCTCTGGTGATGGATATAGCATCTTCCATCATAAGTCCTTCAGAGTTGCCTTATTGTATTGCTGAGAAGAGCTGAGTCATTCATAGTTGATCATCACACAATGTTGCTCATACTGTGTACAATGTTCTCCTGGTTCTGCTCATTTCACTTTGCATCAGTACATACAAGTCTTTCCAGGTTTTTCTGAAATCCGCCTGCTCATCATTTCATATCACACAATAGTATTCCATTATGTTCACATACAGCTTGTTCAGCCATTCCCTAACTGATGGGCATCCTCTCAATTCCCAATTTTTCTGCCGCCACAAAAGACTGGCTATAAAATATTTTTGTGCATGTGGGTCTTTTCCCTTTGTTTATGACCTCTTTGTGATTAGTGATGGTGTTGCTGGAATAAAGAGTATGTGCAATTTGGTTGCCCTTTGGGCATAGTCCCAAATTGCTCTACAAAATGAACGGATTAGTTTACAACTCCAACAACAATCAATTAGAGTCCCAATTTTCCCATATTCTCTCCAATATTTATAATTTTCCTTTTCTGTCATATTAGCCAATCTGATAGATGCGAGGTGGTACCTCAGAGTTGTTGTAATTTGCATTTCTCTAATTAAAAGTGATTTAGTGAACTTCTTCATATGACTATAAATAGTTTTGATTTCTTCATCTGAAAACTGCCTGTTCATGTCCTTTGACCATTTATCAACTGGGGAATGGGTTGTATTCTTATAAATTTGACTCAGTTCTCTATATATTTGTCTCTACATTTCTAATCCTCTTTGTAAACAGAAAAACATTACATACAAATGTAATGTAAGTGATCAAAGCAGAGACTGTACTTTATTTTTTCTTTGTATCCTAGTAAGTACTTAAAATAAAATTTAATCCAATTATAAGAATGGATTTTCCTAATTTTTGTCAGTAGCATGGCTGCTGTAAGTAAAAAAGTTTAAACTCTTTATCTTCCTCAGCCTATTTCTAACTCTTCCATTCTTTCGTCTTTTATACTGAGGAATCAGCATAAAAGACTAAAGAATAATTTAAGTGAAAGAAAGGAAAAGGATAACTAAAAGATAAATTATCTCCTAAAACATTTTTTTTGATACACAAAAGACAGTTTCATTTAAGTATTCTCATTTTCTAGGTCTAAAAAAGAATACAATTCATAGCTGTTTATTTGGGGCCCTGACATTCATTCAGCCAAAATTCACTAAGCAGTTATTTATTATGTTGCATGTCAGGACATATAGATCATGCCACCTTAGAATATAAAATCTTATAAGACTGGTTTTGTGTTGGTTCGTATAGTACTTCATATTCTGTGGTAACCATAACAAATACTGGAACTCCTGGTAAAATATCAATTATACAATAGCAGTTGTTGATATAGTCAAAGAATAGCCTTCATTACCTAGCTAATGTCTGCAGGTAGAGGCAAGGCATTTTGATGGGAAGGTCCTCAGAGATGCCTTCTTTCACACTTGGAAGCTGAGACTGGAATGGTTTTGTAGGATGGTAGCACAGAATACTGGGCTCCGCAGCACTACTCAAGGACAACAGGAAGAGTGCATTTGCTTTAATCACCTGGTGGGCCTCCATGGTGGGCAAGGCACGAGGAGTCTTAACTTGCATTGTTTTTCTTCTAGATTGTTTTACCTAGCAAAGGAAAAATACTTCTTGGTGATCTTGTATTACTCATAAAATGAGACAGTTAAATGGCAAAGTGAATAGAGTGTTAGATCTGGAGTTAGGAAGACCTAGGATCAAATTCCACCTTAGAGACACTTATTTAATTGTGGGACCACTGGGCAAGTCCTCTCAGCCTCAGCTTCCTCATCTGTAAAGTGGGGATAATAGTAGTACCTACCACACATATTGGTTGTCTGTATTAAATGAGACAATATAAGTAAGTCATTTTGCAAACTTTTAAAGAAATGACTAAGATATACACACATACACATTTATCATTACACTATTATAGGGAGCTGTACCTTCTCCTTTGCTGCTGCTTGCTTTTCACGGAGGTATTTTTCCCTGCAACGATCACACACCAGATACCAAGTGCTTCCTCCTATGCCACCATCACCACAGTTACCAGCCCATCCTCCACAAAAGTGTCCAATGCTATTATAACCTTGTCCACCTGCATATCGGCCACAACCTTAGAAAAATAACAAAAATTAAGATATAAAAAATGTCTTTAGAATATACCTCAAAGATAAGTTATATATGAAAATTAATATAAAATTTAAAAGAAACAATCTCCAATAATTTTATATTTTAAGAATTGGAAATTTTCAAATAACTTCCATATTTACCAAAATATTTGCATTCAATTATTATTTTTTTTTAAATTGCTAATTGGTACTATGAAAATCTTGGTTGGGATGTTGTAATTTTTTCCCCCAACAACTAAGTGCAAAGCACTGCACTATTTTTTTTGAATCAAAACAAGTGAGCTGACATTTTAAGAATTACTTGTCAGAAAAAATAGGCAGAACAACGTAATGTATTTGAATTTGTTTTATCTAGGGCAAAATTAGAATTCACATCAGCTAACTCAGCCTTCATTGTTGACTATTCCTGGTATATGAGAGGCAACTTGGCATTAGTGGATACCAAGTTAAGTTTGGAGTCCAAAAGACCTAGTTTGATGTTATACTTCCTGTCTGACCATGGACAAATCACTTGAGCTCTCAACATCCCAGCCAACCCTCTAAGACTTGTAAATTGCCCAATACTGATGAAAGTAAAAAAAAAACACACAAAAGTTTATATAACATTTGTATGTTGAATAATTTGTATATGTCACATATAAATTATTTAAGATTCCTGATTAAGATAGTTGGTGCTTTTTCTTTCTTTTTTTCTCAACTTTTAACGAAAACTACATTAAAAATTCATGTAAAATGAGTCATACTCCAATTTCAATGCAACCAGGTCTTTCAGCTTTTTAATAAAATTTGCTGGGTGGATTAGCTTAAAAGTAACATGTCCTGACCATAATGTTTGATAAAATATATTTAATGTTAATATCTTACCTGGATGAGCTTGCCTCATGTGATAAGTTACTGGATAGGGATGTGATTCTCCACATAGCTCACAGATGGTATCTTTCTCTGGTCCCCCCACAGCAAGCTGGGCCATCTCACCGAACAAATTACCCCTTGGCCTGGCTTCAGCCTTTTCTTTTTTCTTTTTTTCCTTCTTAGTCTTTTTATTATCTTTATCAGATTCTTTCTTTTTAAGTACTGCACAAGAGCCAGGACTTGGAAATATCATGTTCTGGGAAGCGGCTTTGATGGTGGCCAAAGAGATGTCTTCCCAAAAGGCTACCAAATGTTGCAAGGTTAAAGGAAGAGGAGATTTGGATTTCATTGTGTGGTGTGTGGACATTTCAAAAGTGGCTTCTGTTTTTCCATCCTCACATTTTTCATGGAGAGGTGGTTCCTTAAGCATTGACAAGACCTTATTTTTGTTGATGCTGCCCATTTTAGATATATCTGGTCCATGAGGTGAAATATTAAACATATTAAGAGCAGATGATATTTCCAATGAGTGCCTATTTTTCAGTTTTGTTTCTTTTTCCTCTGTAGGCTGTTGACTATTCAAACTATTTCTTATTGGAGCATGTTCTTTAGACAATTCTGGATTAAATTTCAGAAAAGAAGAACAAGCCATTGCATCATGGACTATACCTTCATGCCAAAGGAAAGAGGCAAAGACAGCTCTGGCACATTCAGCGACAGAAGGGGACATTGCTTGCTTAGCTGGCTCTAAAGGTCTGGATCCATCTCCTTTGAAAAGGAAGCCTGACTTTTCCTTTTTGGGCCTGGTGTGCCTATTTGCACATTTTCGGCTTACCTTTGGAGAAGCTCTCATTTCCTGCTCATCCTTCATGGGTGCTTTTCCTATGCTGAAGTGCACTTTATTGGAGCTCTCATCCACACTCTTAAATTCAGTACTCTCATCGCAAGTGCTGTCTGTTATACTATTTGTCTTTAAGGTACTGGAAGTACAGACTTCAACTACCTCACTGTGAAGATTTTCTTGCACTACATGTGGAGAAGGAGCTCTATTTTCAGTTCCAGGAGAAACTTTAGAATCTTTTGGTATTATTTTTGGCTTAGGTGATGTGGATCGACCTCTTAATGGTTCTGTGAGGGGCATCTTTTTCTTGCGGAGAGTATCTGGATCCAGTGTATATGAATCTGATTTGGATCGTTCACGAGGAGGATCAAGCTTTGCCTTAGTAGGAGCAGGGCCTTTCTGAGGTAGATTCTTGTCATGTGGAGAAGAAGAGCGTGGAGGACTAGCACCTGGTGGACTGGACCTGCTTGATGGGAGAGTCTTTGGCTTAGGAGAAGATGATCGAGATCCTGGCCCTGGAGACTCAGCTCTAAGGCCAGAAGAGATTCTCCCATCAGATTTTAGTGTTTGCAAGGTATTATGATTGGGAGATAAGGACCTGCTATGAGAATCTGACCTCAGCTTTGCAGCATCAGATTTCAACATTAGGGATTCACTAGCAGACAGGCCTTCTGTGCCTCTTGGTTTCTTTTGATCTGTAGCAGTCCTGCTCACACGTCCATCAAGCTTAGATGACCGGCTTTCAATTCTGTGTTTGGAGGATAGATCTGATTTTCCTGCTGGAGAGGCTGGTCTAGGGGTTATGGAGAAATTTCCTCGGTCACCTGTATAATTCATTTCAGAGTGAAAAGTATCATTATAATTACAATTCACTGAAAACACATTAGCACATAAAATGTATACAATGGCTGAATAAAAAGATATACTTCTGTCAAAATTTGTTTGGAAAAGTAATTCTTCTATAGCATTTTATGGTTAAAAAGTATTCAAGATTGAAAATAAAAATCAAGGACAAAGAGGAAAAATATGTTTGACAAAAATCTTTAAATTATAACAAATACCACAATAACCCAAAATATTTTCCTAACTACTACACTGCACATGTACTACATGTTTACCATTATTGAAATATAAAGCAAATCATCTATTAAAATTTCTGGTAAATAAAAAAGTTTTAAATGAACACTAATGAGCAAAGAGAAAACCAAACTGTCACTGACTCTAGAATCTACAACTGGGAAATATGTAGCCTGTGAAAATATTAGAGCAAATTTTCAGTGGAGGTTAGTTGAATATGTTTTCTTACTAGCTTTAATCTTTAGATATATATATATATATATATATATATATATATTCTATTAATTAGGTTGATTGCCTACCAGAGCCCTGCTTTAAATGCATTGGAACAATTTTTAATTAATAAAGCACCAGTGCTTAAACCTTGCTTACCATGCAATTATAGGACATCTCCACGTTATGAACAAGTTGTGTTAAAAAAAATTTCAGCAATTTCTTTAAAGCTGGTTGTCTAGAAACTGAAATACATTTTTTAAATAAGGAATGAGGTTCCTGGAGCAGTTCACAAAAGCCTATTTCCCTCCTAATGTATCTTGAACTACAAAGTCATTGGGTTTTGAGAGATGTAAACAACATGAAGTCATGTGAAAAATAGGTTAAGTTTCCTATCCTTTTGCACAGCCAATCTTAATCAATATTTTGAAAAGCCAGACAGATGGCACATGCCATGCTCCCACATCTATTTGTATTATTTTTGTGGCCCTAAACCTGGACCTTCTATGTCCCTCAGGCATTCTAAATTCCCCTGAAAAGTTACCTATCTCTTCTCCCCAAGTCAAATGCCCATTTCCTCAGTTTAGTTGTTTGTAGATAGTTATGTAAAAGTGTAATTAATCAATCTACAAGCATTTATTAAGTACCTACTATGTGCCAGGCACCATGCAAAGTGATAAAGAATAGGGATAGAGGCTTTGAACTTATTGGTATAGGGGACAGTTGGGTGAGAAAACTCCACTCTACCAATGAAGGTGGGCACTTTCTCTGCAACTATGAGTCTTAAAGAGATGCCCAGAACCAAGTGACTTTCCAAGGGTCACACATCCCATACGGGTCAGAGATGTGGCCTGCATTCTGAGTTCAAGGCTCTAGAGGAACAAAGACAAAAATTCAAGTCCCTGCCTTTAAAGAACTTAAGCAATTTGACTGAACCAATAGCCAAGAAATTTACGTTTAATTACATTTAAATGACTAATATTCCTTTATCTTAGAGGAAGGATTTAACTTTTTTCAAAGAGGATGTTTCAAAACCATGGCTTAATTATGCCATCTCTCCCAGGCTGAAGGGGGCCATCCATGCTGCAACCTTCTACTTTTGAACTCTCCCATTTCCTAAAAGCTCTATTAACACAGACACAGACACACACGCACACGCGTGCGCGCGCACACACACACACACACACACACACACACACACACACACACACACAGAGTGGTTCCCATGTCTATTTCAGTGACTGCTGGGTGACGATAGTTTCTGCACATTGGTTGTTTGGGCCAGAGGTTTTAAAGTTAGCAGTTAGGTAGCACAAAGAATAGAGCACCAGACCTGGAGTCAACAAGACCAAGTTTGAATTCAGCCTCAGACACTTAATACTTGTGTAACTCTGGGCAAATCACTTAGCCTCTATTTGCCTCAGTTTCCCCACCTGTAAAATGGGGATAATAATAGCACCTACCTACCAGGGTTGTTGTGAGGATCAAATGGGATAATAACTGTAAAACATTTAGCATAGTGCTTGGCACATAGTAAGGGCTATAGAAATGTTACCTATTATGCTAATTAATCACTTCCATCTTGTTGTCACATATTTTTCATATAAACAAAATGTTCTTATACATTATTATACCTATTGGTTTCCTAATCCATTTAGAGTTTTTCACACAAGTATAAAGTACAAAGTTTAAGGAAATACACACAGGACTGAGAAAAAGCAGTTATCTTTACATTGATTTCAAATAACAAATCTTTTTTTTTTGCCACTGAAATGATTACATTACATTACATTACTGCTTTAGAAATTGATATATTAGGCATACTATTAAAAAAGAAAAACATTATTTACTTCAAGTATGGATCAACTTTTCAGAGCAATGAGCTGCACTTCTAGTTTATAAAAAAAGGAAGAGAAGGTGTGCATAGAGGAGGAATGTCTACAAAACTGTTTTACGAATTTGTGAGAAAAGAAAACCCCAGCCCAACAACCATTTAGTTAATCTTTATAGTATAGTCCTAATAATTATGTTTCTGTGAATCTCCCTAGACTGAATAAATTTATTGATGAATTTTGCAGAGAAAAAAAGCAACATTTGAATCAAAAAATCTATTTATGACCAATGATCCACATACATTTTAAATTTAGAATTTCATTTTTTCTTCCTGAGTTTAAGCATTTTCCTGATTATATTGTTAAAACATTCTTGACCACTATATAAATGCTATAAGAAAACTTGTTTGCTATACCAACCAACAATTTCTTGGACAAGAAGGTATGCATGCACACTACCTTATCAAATAAGATTTAAGAACTGTAGTTAACTGAAGACAAAAAGTGTTTTTCTTTGAAAAAACTTACTGAATTTGTAATAGTAATTCTATAACAAAGTTTTCATATATCAAATAAATAATGGTTGCTTCATAAGATGAATTTTAAGAAAAAAACTCACAGGATTGTGTATTTTTGCCTGTTAGATATTAAAAGAGAATATTAATACTTTTGCATATAAATATTTTGTATTTACGATAATCATATCAAATAAGGAAAATCTGATTTTTATGCCAAGGAGACAGATAAAAGACATATGTAAAATTACATGAAAATTACTTCTAAATATTTCAACCTTATTATTAAATTTTAAAATGCTCATTTAACAAATGAATGGAATGAAAATGAATTGAGGTGAAATTATTTTCCTTTTTCAAACTACCTTTGTAAATTTTGAATGCCCCATCCATGAATGCATGCATACCCACCCTTTAGTTTGTGAGACAGAGATGAAAGAGCAGAAGCAGGACCAGCTACACCATTATTTTTGTAAATGCGCTCACGAGAAGCAAGGTTGCGGGATGGAGTTTCTACAGTGGAAAACAGTGGCAAAGAAGCAACACAAGTTCAATGGAAAACAATTTAGCAGAGAAAACAAGCAGAAACAAAGAATTTTAAAGGGTATGCACTATTTGCTGTTACTAATAAATTTCACTAAAGAAATCTATACTCCTCTCAAAAATTAGAAGCAAGAGGGACAAATTGATAAATTTCGTTTAGTAATCATTTAAAAGACTAACATTTCAAATGAGGGTCATAATATTTTATAAGGTTGGATCACATTTTTTTCATTTTAGTATTCTTAAAAAAATACACAAATTTGAAGAATACAGGTAGCTAAAATAGTGGGAGGGGCTCTGGGGGGTCTGGACATCTGGAATTTAGTATCAATTCTACTTCTAAATAGTTGTAGAAGCATGATTAAGTCATTAAAACTCTTTGGGAATTAGTTTCTTTACTATCAAAATAAAGGAAGTGACCTGGAAAAGATGATTTCTTAGGTCCCCCCCAGCTCTAAAATTCTATGAGATACTACAAAAGTATGATGGTTTCTTTTTTTTTAAATTTAAAATTGATTTTTATTTATTATCCTGTTGTGGAGAATATGCTTTTTTAAAAATAAATGTATTTATAAATTGTCTTTCAATTCAAAGTAATTCGTGCTTTCAATATGTATATCAACCTTGGGCTCTGGTAGTAGAGAGGTGAGTCAACAAAGATTCAGTATATACACATCAAATTTCACGAGAAGAAATGCCATCGAAACAGCAATTCCTATAATAATAAAGATTTCTGAGATCAACTATATCTTATGTACTAGAACAATATCACAGTAAAATCTCAGTACCAAAAGGAAAAAAAAAGGCATTCTGCAAACCTGTTGGGTTTCTACTGTAGTGGACTTGTCCAAAGTTCTGTTATATTGCACGGTTTTAGAAGAGGATCTAAAAATCTCAATGGTATAAATATCTAAGAAAGTGAATTACTTTACCCTCTTATGTTTCCATGAAAATGCCAATTTAATTAAAAACCTTTATTTATTCAGATAGACTTCGTCAAAATCGCATAATTTCAGAGATGTAAGGAACTAGAGAGGCTAAGTAATCCAACCCATGCCAGAATATCCTCCACAACAGGGTTTAAAAAATTTTTTTGTTTTGTTTTGTTCCAAAGACTCCTTTGGCAATCTGGTAAAGCCTATGTTTACAAGAATTTTTTAAAATGTCATAATTGAAGGGAATACTAAATTTCAGTTGGGAGTTAGTAAAAAATTAAGATGCAATTTTTTCCCATCCTAGTTCACGGACCCCTAGAAATCTATTCACAAGTTAAGAAGCTTTGCTGTAAAACATATCTTTGAAGTGGTCATACCACCTTCCTTGAAGAACTCCAGTGAGGGAGAACCTGTCTCTCAAGGTAGGTCATTTCATTGTTGGATAGTTCTAATTGTTAAGAAAGTTTTTCCTTGTTACACCTAGATTTGCCTCACTGTTATAAAAATAAAAATTGAATTGACCCGAAGTCTTGACATATTTGATGTAGTTTTGACCTCCTTTCTTTGCTTAAATATTAAATTATAAAAAGAGATAAATTCTTCAAAAGAAAAATAATGTAGCTACTGCAAGGGAAAATCTTATGAGCAAATTCCAAATGTTTCATAATAAATAAGTCTTTTTCTGGGGGGAGGGGAAGTTGGGAGGAATGGTGAAAAGGATAATGAAAAAAATGAAATTTACCTAGATTATGATATTACTGACATATGGTTCTATGTAGAAATTTAACTTATGACTTTTTCAGACTAAATCTAAAGGTGAACCTTAATTTTTTTTTTTGCTTAACTACCTTTTTGAAGATATTTTCAGTGGAAGGTCATCGTATTTAATCTAATTTTTGCATTTTGGAGTTCTTGTAATTGAGGTTCCAAAATGTGTTTTTAAAAAAGCAAACAAAGCAAAAATAGAAAAAGGAAATAAAAGACATATAACTTTGTAATGTTAAACAAATGACATATTTTACATAAAAATCAGTGTGCTTTAAATAAAACTTAAGCTTTATTTTGTTCAAAGAATATGTATGACCTTTTAAATGTAGGACTTCCCAGAATAATATTTCTATACACTTGACAAGATTTGAGAGAAAATATCCTATTTAATCATTAAATAATTCAACATTAATTTTTAACAAACAAATAATATTTGGTGTATAATATCCTGCTAATAAGAACTTTGCATAGTACTAGCAAAGCAAAATATGTCACTATAAAATTGATTGCTCACTGAAAATATTAGCAAGAATAATACCTGATTAACTCACTTTTGATTATCATGTCACGATTAAAGATCAAGAATGAATGGAGTATGCTAACAAATGTTTTCTGCATAATACCTTAATTTATTTTGTGTTGATACTAGGGACATTTTCCCCAAGTTGAAACTTTCCATGTATTTAAGATACCATTAAACTACAACGTATCATAATTAAAATTTTTTTTTCTTCCAGTGAATTTGAAAGCTGAGAGTTAAAATTAAGATAAGCCAGGATCAGATAGCCATTTGCTGATACTATAACCCTTATAAAAACAAAATTCCACTCCAAGGGATAAAAAACTAAGTTAAAACTACTACCTTTACCAATTTACCTTTTACGTCTCAGTGGTTTGTGATCAGATAAAGCAACTGGGGAAAACTAGAGGCTTCAGAATTTTGCTGTTTACTTTAAAATAATTTAATCACAGTTGCTTAATAAAAACTCTACATACTTTCTTGGGTCAGTAGTCATCAAAAGATTAGCAATCAAGCAGAATTACTCATATAACTTGAGATATTCAAATACACCAAATTATGTCAAACTGCAACAATAAAGACTTTTTCTTAAGGCTGGAACTTAGTAAAAAATTTTACTAATCAATGAAGTAAGATTTCATGTACCTTATTCAACTAAATTCAACAAGTAGTTTTAAGTTAATGCTACACTAAGACTTTGGACATGTTTTATACTTGTTAAATACCTATCACTGTGTGTGTATGTGTGTGGGGGGGCACTATGATAGTAACTGAAGAAGTCATTGTACTCAAAGTGCTCCTGGGAACATCAGTCTCTAGATTTTTCTGCCAGTAATAATAACAATAATAGTTAGTACTTGTACAATGCTTTAGGGTTTTGTAAAGCACTTTACCAATATCTCATTTTATCTTCACAACAATCCTGGGAAATAAGTGCTTTTATTCCAATTTTAAAGATGAGGAAACTGAGGCAGACACAGGGTAAGTGATTTGCCCAGGATCATACTGCTAGTTAAGGGTCTGGAGCAGGATTTAAACTCAATCAGGTCTTAATGACTTTAAGTTTAGTGCTATACCCACTACATCACCTACCTATAGTTCAAAGGGTTCATAAAGTTATCAAGAAAGAACAAGCTTTAACTCTGAAAGACAGGACGCTGGAATACCACACGTCAACTAACCAAACAATCAAAGAGCATTTATGGCACATATGTCTTGGACTTGTAATTTCATTAAGTGTTATGATAGGGCCTGGGAATAAAAAGATAAAGATAGTCCTTACCTTCAAGAAGTTGACATCATAGGGATGTATGTGTGTTCATATATATCCATACACATATATGTACAAAATAGATATTAAGTAGATACAAGCTAATTTTAGAGAAAGACAGGAGCTTGGGCCAAGGGGTTATCTTGAAATACCACACGGAAAGTGGTACTTAAACTGGGTCTTGAAGGAAACTAAGCATTCTAAATGAAGGAGGAGAGAATGCACTCCACTTATGGGGAACGGCACTGAAAATGAACATGGAGAGCCAATGTAATGCATTTATGAGGATCATCAACAAGGACGACAGTTTGGGTGGTCTCAGTGTGTGTGAATGGGTGTAAAATGTGAGATAAAGACAAGAAGTTTGAAGCCAGGAACTTTAAATAACAGGGAGGTTTATATTTGATCCTACTGTTTGGATATATGTAGCACATTTTGTTAGAGTGCAAATCCGGTGAATTTTATTATTTGAAGGAGAACACTCATTGCATACTCAATCAAAAAAGTTTATTTTTATTTATCTTAAACTTTATAACTTATTTTCAAAAAGTTAAGTAAACTTTATTTTAAAGTACAAACTTAAAATATGACAGAGCCTTGGAGAACAGACCAAATATTGTATGAAATATCTGTAATAGTTCAGGCAAAGGTGATGAGGACCTTAACTAAGGTGTGACTATGTGGGTGGAGTTAATGAGATAGATGTGAGGGATGCCATGGAGATAGAATGACATTTGGCAAATGACTGGATTTGTGGGATGAGAGAGAAATTCAGTATAGTACCAAATGAGGTTGTGAACCTAGCTGACTAGAAGACTGGTTATGTCTTGGAAGGTAATAACTTTGAAGAGACATAGGTTTTGGGGAAAAGATAATGTACTATTTTGGACATGTTGACTTTGATATGTCTTTGGGAACAGTTTGAAATGTTCACTAGGCAGTTAGTGATATGGAAATGGAGTCAGGGGAGAAACTAAGGATCTGATAATGCAGAGATTTTTATTCAGATGGATTTAGGGATATACTGTGGTAATCTGGTACAACTGTTATCTATGCATAAGCAAATTACCTATCCTAAAAACTTCCCATTTCATTAACATATTGACAGGGTGTTTAGTATATAGAGACTGAAGAGAGGAAAAAAAGGTTAAATACTGAGACTCCCTAGGGAATAAAGAAAGTTCTATATTTTCCTTTGCAGGTATATGTGTGAAAAAGAAAAGGAATCAGAAAAAAAAAGTTAAAATTTCAGTAATAGGGATATACCCAGAGCTAGGTTACGAGATTATGTAGATGTGGCGGTATCAATCAAAATTAAAGATCAATTGTACTTGGGTAACCTGTGTGAACAGTGAAGTGTCTTTCATGGTGCAGGTATGGAACAGGCCCAGTTATTCATATCAAAAACTAAAATTTAAGATAAGGTATACTTCTGACACATCACGATCCCACCATAAATATGTTATAAAGCTAGATG